TGCCTAGCCCAGGGGTGAGCAAACTTTTTGGCCCAAGGGCCACATAGGGGTTGCGAAACTGTATGAAGGGCTGGGTAGGGAAGGCTGTGCCTCCCCAAACAGCCTGGCCCCTGCCCCCTCCCTGCCCCCTCCCACTTCCCGCCCCCTGACTGCCCCCCTCAGAACCCCCGACCCATCCAACCCCCCTGCTACTTGTCCCCTGACCGCCCCCTCCTGGACCCCCCACCCCAACTGTCCCCCCGGGACCTCACCCCCTATCCAATCCTACCTGTTCCCTGTCCCCTGGCTGCCCTGACCCCATCCACACCCCCCGCTCTCTGACAGGCCCCCCCAGACTCCCATGCCTATCCAACCGCCACCTGTTCCCCCTCCCCTGACCACCTCCCCCCTGAACCTCTGCCCCATCCAACCACCCCCTGTCCCCTGACTGCCCCCCGGGACCCCCTGCCCCTTATCCAACCCCCTGGCCCTCCGCTCCTTTACCATGCTGCTCAGAGCAGCAGGAGCTCACAGCCCCCCTGCCCGGCTGGAGCGGTGGGCCAGAGCGCTGGCAGTGTGGCGAGTTGAGGCTGTGGGGAGGGCGGACAGCGGGGGAGGGGCTAGGGGCTAGCCTCCCTGACCGGGCGTTCAAGGGCTGGGCAGGACGGTCCCGTGGACCGGTTGTGGCCCGCAGGCCATAGTTTGCCCACTGCTGGCCTAGCCAGTGATCTCCTCATTTCTATTTGTGCATTTGATTTTTTTTTCTTACGTATAGCACTTGTCCCATCCATAATTTGTATTTTTTGTTTTAAAGAAAATATCTACTTGGCCCTTTACCATGTGCCTCCTTAAAACAACCAACTCTCTGGGACAGTCAACTAGCTTGGAGGGCTTTTTTCTTTCTTTTTCAATACTACTGCTACGACTAATCTGATCTCCTCTTTAAAAAGAACTGGAAATCCTATTTTTGAACTACAGATATTAGGCGAGATTCTCAGCTTGTCTGAATTGGCACAGCTCTGACTTCTGAGGCTACTTGTGTGTGTAGTGTCGTGAAGCACGTATTTAAATGCTTTGCTGAACAGGGATGAGATTAAGCATATGAGTAAAGTTAACAAGATGCTGATTTGGGGTCCCAATTAAAAACCATATGCTATGTTTCTATGTGTCCAGTCACAACTGCTTGAATTCTGAATATCAAATATTCACAACAAAAGTGTTTGTGAATGAGCCACAAGATCAAAGGGCCAAAGCTACACACAGCTGTATGGGAGTAAATTTAATGTAACTAAGAGATGGTAAAGGGGTGACTTGATTATAGTCCATAAGGACCTACAAGGGGAACAAAACTTTGATAACGGGCTCTTCAGTTGAATGGACAAAAGTATAGCATGGTCCAAAGACAGGAAGTTGACGTCAGACTGGAAATAAAATTAAAGTTTTTAACATTGAGTTACTAATTACTGGAGTAATTTATCAAGGGTCGTGGTGGCAATTTTAAAAACATGACTGGATTACGCTCTCCCCCCCATCTTCTCCCCCACAAAAGACATGCTCTCATTCAAAGAGAAATTAATATAGGGGAATTCTCCAGCCTGAGTTATGCAGGAGGTCAGATCAGATCACCACAATGATCCCTTCTGGATTTATAATCTTAGTCCATGAGTTTAATGTACATAAGCACTTGTGCCCTGAAAAGCTGCACAGGACACCCATTCACCCTTACTGACTTTAATAGAAGCGAGTTTTACCTGTGGGCACAGGTGCCGTCTTTCTAATTTTCCCCAGGGGTGCTTGGCCCATACTCAGCCCCAGACTCTACCCCCACTCCAACCCTTCCCCCAATGCCCCACCCCTGCCCTGCCTCTTCCCACCCCATTCTCATCACCTCCCACAAGCGTGCTCCACCCCCTTCCCGCCAGTGCCTCCTGCACACCACTGAACAGCTGATCCCCCGTGGGCGGGAGGCACTGGGGGGAAAGGGGAGAGGCCGATTGGCGGGTCCTGCCAGTGGGTGCTGAGCACCCATTATTTCTTTTCCCTGGGTGCTCCTGCCCTGGAGCACCCATGGAGTCGACGCCTATGCCTGCGGGGAAAGAACTGACCCCATAGTATTGTTCTCAGTTTGTCCATCTCAGAAGGATGAAGAGATGAATTGACACTACAGGGCTCCACATCTCTCTCTCTCATGGCCTTAGCTCCTCAGCTGGTATAAATTGTCCGTTGACTTGATGGAGCTATGAGACTTTACTCCAACTGGGGATCTGTCCGAAGGTATTTCAAACCTGCTGCTTAGATTCTTAAGCTATCCGCTGCAGTGAAGTTTGGATGCTCTGTTGATTCCCCCCCCCCGCCCTTTAATTAATTCAGTAACAGCGGGGAATAACCTCATCATTAGAAAATTCCACCCATTACTCTATTGTTCTTACCAGAATTGTTTCATATCTTTTTGCTGTAGGCCCAGATATTCCCCTTGATTTGCATGTGGAATTCCCACTTCCTGTTCTTCTTCAAATCATTGAACCATTGGTGAAATTTATGGATGTGTGATGCTATCGGCACTCCACAATTCGTCTTTGAAAGAGCATGACAAATGGGCCAATGTTCTTTCTCACCCTACACTGCCAGGAACCAGTGGAAGTGGTGGATCAGAGTCAAGAAAGTCTAGCAAAGGAAAATGTGGTTGGATAATTGGAATGTTTTATGAATATCTGTCTGGTTTCTACTGGACTGTGGAATTGTGTTTCCAAAGGATGTCATTGGATCCTCATCACCTGAGTCATTAGAAGACAAAGCATTGGAGAATATTATCATGTCTTGGCAAGGGGTGGTCTAGGTGGCCCAACAGGTCTTTTCCACCTCTCACTTCTGCACGCATGTAGAAATCAGTCTTTAATTTCCATTCAAGGATAATACTTGATGTCATTTGGAGCCACACACATGCATTTATAACACTTCTCTGGGTGGGTCATCAGCAGGAATTGAACCTATGCCCCCTGGTTCCATAAGCACAGCTAACAGGCTAACTCTGTTAGGTGGCAGCAGTTAGCAAGCTGGTATCCTCTTATCTTGTCCGCTATAGGAGGCTAAAGGAACCCTTGGCCAGCATAGTCTGGGACCACAGCCTCTCTGGTTTCAGGGCATTGGTGTTCCTTCCTGGGAAGGTAGGAATACCACTGCGGCTACAGTTACTACAGTGCTGTGGGATATGAATCACAGAATTTTAACAAGGAACAAGATGAAAAATGACTCTGCAATGGATCTGGTCAGACTATTTTTTACAAATAATATTAGTTATGATTTTAGCCCCGGTTATTCTAGTGACTCATTCACAATGAACCCTGATGTTTTGGGGTCATAGCTAAGGATATTTTTACTAAGATAGGTCATGGGCAATAAAGAAAAATTCACGGAAACTGTGACCTGTCCCTGACTTTTACTAAAAATATCCCTGATAAAACAGGAGGGGGCTGGGCAGCTGCAGGGTGGCTGGGAGCTCTCGCGCCCCCCCCACCTGTGGGGGCTCAGAGCTGCAGAGGTCCCCCTGCCCCACCACACAGATGGGGAGCTGTGGGGTACCTCCACTGCCCATGGTGGTTCGGAGCTTGAGGGCCCGCTGTCTCTGGCGGCGGGGGTACCTCACAGCTCCCTGCCACTGTGGGAGGTGGTGGGAACCTGCAGCTCTCAGCCACCAGGGCTGAAGTCACAGAGGCCTTTGGAAGTCACGGATTCCGTGACCTCTGTGACGAAATTGTAGCCTTAGTCACAGGGCCGCCCAGGGGATTCAGGGGGCCTGGGGTCTTTGGCGGCGGGGGTCCTTCCACTCCAGGTGTTCAGGGCACTTCGCCGAAGACATGGAGCAGAAGGACCCCCGCTGCCGAATTGCCGCCGAAGACCCGGAGCGGAAGAAGCGGCGGTGGGTCCTTCACTTGCCCCCCACTCTGGGCAGCCCTGCTTAGTCATAGCCACGGTATTTCCAGTCCCAAGCATTCAAACCTCGTGAGTCAGGGCCCCAAACTTCATGTAATTAGTTTAAAAACCATGAAATAATAATCATAATAATAATACTAAGCGTTCTTTTTATTCAAAGGCCTTCTAGCTCGAGCCTTAAGGTCACACTCACGTCACATTTTCAAGCTGTTCTCTGCAGCCATCAGGGCTAGAAATATAGGGCTTGTTTTTACAGGGACGCTCCAGAAAGTTAACCTGAATTAACTTTTAAACTGGATTGGTTAAACTATGTTAATCTTCTGTGTAGATGCTCTTATTCAGAATTAAATCAGACCTAATTCATTAGTTTAAACCATTTGGAAAGTGTTTAATGCAGCTTGTTTAATCCACTTGTTAAAAGCTAGTTCAGATTAAGTTTCTTGAGCATCCCAGTGTAGAAAAGCCCCCCCTCCCTTTAAATGGCAGATGAGATTTTCATGCAATCTCTTAATTCAAGCATCTACGGTTTTATGAAAAAACACGAACTATAGAAAGATTGGTGGTGAAATCTGACGGCACCATATTTATGGCTAGTAAGCATTTGTAGTAGAATGCACCCTATTGAGAGACAGCACAAACTCTATACACAATTTAATAACCAATTAAAACTTCACAAGAGGCTTTACATGGAGCTGAACTGGTGCCTAAGCCCTCCTGGTGTCCCTCTGCACAGGCGTGAATTTCACCTTCACTGAATATTTTGGATGAATAATTTTCAGACTTTAGGTTGCTCGTGAACTCTGCACTTTGACTATTCACCATGCATGTTGTGCAATAGGTCACCTAATTGATATAGTTTTTGCTCCCCAACTGGGTGTCTCACACATCTGAGAAATGAGAATAGTGAATAACAGTGCATGGCTAATGGGAATTATGTGCTAAAACTGATAATTTTAGGTATTCATAATCATTTGCATGACTGCATTATGTTGCCCAAAGACTTTGGAATAACAATGACCCTTTGAAACAAATTCCATGCTTTTATTCCTGAAAAAAGTAACAAATCAGGTTTTTAAAAATTTATTCAAGCAACTATAAATTATATCATACAGCATGTTTCAAACCCACATTTTATTACAACTGCTAAATATGGTAGAGCTAAAGATCAATTTTATATCATGTCATTATAACAGTTACATAAAGACTAAGACATAATACCAGTTAGTTAAATATAGTATCAATAAATATACGGTGTGCACTTTCAGGAGGTTTACTGACGTTTTAATATAAAACTTTTTAAGATCAGTGAAAGCACATTGTTTGGGGAGCACTAAAATGACAGGCCCTGGAATGTTAACATAACTTTTATAATGCTGCAAGAATCAACAGAAATTCAATTTCTTGATTTATAGTGTATAACTTGCTTGTTACATAATCTCAGGATCAGAAGGGACCTCAGGAGGTCATCTAGTCCAACCCCCCTGTTCAAAGCACCCAGTTTTTGCCCCAGATGCCTAAATGGCCCCCTCAAGGATTGACCTCACAATCCTGGGTTTAGCAGGCCAATGCTCAAACCGTTGAGCTACCCCTTCCCCTGTTTCATGCCTTTCATGGTATTTTAAACCCTTTGCAATGAGTTACAAACTGATGAGTTAGAAACTGATGCTGCATCGCCAATTGTTGGGGCCATCTTGCATTCAGCAGCAATTCCTGGATTGTCTTGGACAGTAAAGGCCAAGTCTTCTGTCTGGTGCACACGGGATGCAGAACTCCTCTGAAAATCTGGCCTATCTGTGGCACTACGGGAGTTGCTGAGTACTTTGGAAAATGTGGCTCTTATTTAGGTGCCTAAGTGGGAGCTGAGCTTTCTGGAAAATCTGCCCCCACCGGTGCTTGCTGAACGATGAATATCTGACCACAGGGGCTCAATCGTGCAAGGTGCTTAGGACTCCTCAACACCTATTGGAGATGGTGGGAATTGACGGCCCTCAGAAATGCAGCCTGACACTGAAAGAGGGAGCTAAGAAGCTGGTTAAATGAGTGGCAATATTGACTATGACACTGCGGCTGTCCCCTACTCTTCTCAAAAAGTTCCAAGGGCTCTCCACACCTGGGCAGCAACTGAGGGGGGGCTGAGTAGACCTTGGTTGACCAACTCATCCAATGGTGGTTGACTGCAGTCCTGCAGATTTAAAATCCCATCTCTCCCGCAGGGAATTTCCTGCCCTACTGAGTGAATTCCATGCAATAACATTGATCCTTGTCATTGCCTCTTTCTGACCTGAGCAGTTAGCCAAAGTTTGGGGCCTGGTGCAGATGATTAGTTGGAAGTAGAAAGTGATGGTGTCCAGTATTTTTACAATCTTGTTTACTTTCAAGGAATGTTCAAAGTCCTGCTTCTCCAAATACAGGAGGAACCAAGCAAAAAGGCAATAGTTTCTTAGCGTACAGCCCCAGATCTCTTTAACCAACATACTCCAAAAATTCTCTCTAGCTTTTTCCAGGATCACATTATGCTCAAAGGTTACTCATTGGTTTTCTTACCTCTGCCTTGCTCTGTCTTGTGTGCTCCCTTCCCTCACCCTATCTGCTTCACCAAAACAATACTCTGCAAAAGCCCTCCCCTCACTCAGTCCCAAAACTCCTAGGTGGGTTCACAACCCCTTGTCTTAGGTGTGTGGCAGCACCCCCTGACTTGAAGTGGTAGACGGTTTTCAGTTTGGTTCAATGGCTCTCAGCACCCCCACTTTACAAATTGTTCCAGCTCCCCTGATACTGATAGTTATGGCCATTGAGGAGTGTGTTAACACCCAGTCTCAGAGGTTTGTGATGCAACAACCAAAGCTCTGTACAACTTTTCATGAGTGATGTACCTGAGTATTCGGATTCTAATTTCTAAACTGTATTGATAAATCTATTCACCTAAATTTGGGGTATTGCTGATTATGTACTCTCTGCAGCATATGGCATTTAAAAAACCAACTTTGTATTTGTGGATAATATAAGCACTATACCCACATGTACAGACACTCTTTCCCCAACCTATGTACTATATAATGTGTTTTAGCATTAGCTTTAGAAACACATTTAAATCTCTCAGCATCACATTCTAATAAAACACCTTTCCTCCCTTCAAGGCAGGTTTCAAGATCTTTCAAGGAAAGATCCAGGACTGTATAGATACTGCTCAGTTGGTGGTTTAATAGTTTTCTATCTAACCCTTTGGAGGGAGTGAATTTAGTGCTGCTGAAAGGCACTGGGCTGATAAAACTGGAGACTGGGCTAGTTGTTGACATACAGCTCTCCCAATTTGCCACTGGTGTGGAGGGACCACATCTGGCAGTAAGGGATCATTCATTCTCCATGGCTCACTCAGATCTTGGCTATTCTACTGAGGCTGCCAATCATATAACACATCTTAAGAATGTCACAGAGGATGAAACACAATATAAAAATGTTTTTCCCTTCTCAAGCACAACTCATGGTTGAGCCAGAGTTATGGATGATCAGAGGACCCCACCAACCATTTCTGAACCCATCTTAAAAAGATGTTCTGGTTTCAAAGGCAAGAAGATTTTAGAAAGCCTGGAAATCAAAAATGACATGTCCAGTGGGAGAAAGATTTCTTGTCTCTGCTGGTGGAGAGAGAACGCTTCCGTGTTTTCAGAGGAATGATTAATAAAATTGGCCAGAAGAAAACCAAAAATGAGAGAATGTTACCATTACATTCAAAGAGTCTAATTCATTGCTCACGATAAAAACTGGCTTAAAATTGCCCAGAAGAGCTCCTGTCTGCTGCCTCCATCAGAACATCTGACCCTCTCTTTTGGCTGAAGCTTGCACATGAAAGCTTTAAGCATCCAGTGCATGTTTACGTACATCAAAGCCAGCTACGGTTAAAGCAAACATTTGCTTTCAGGCAGGCAACAGATCAACGAATAAATAAATCTTAACAGCCTGAAAGTTTCTGCTGAATCTAAGTGAATAGACCCTCTACACTGGAGTAAAGTTTCAGTGTGTCATCTGATGAACACTGGATTTCCACGTTTCCACAACTGCTTCTTCTTTTTGTGTTTTAAAAAAACAAAACAGGAAACAACTGTTTCCCCTGACTGAAAGTGGATAAGAAACTCAGAAAAATCTGACTTTACAAAGATTCTTACATTTCGAAAGGCAGACAGAAGCATGTGAATTTTAGTTCAGTTTTTGTCAGGTAACAAATTATAGATCACCAACTGGGAGACTTATAGCTTTACTTTCTCTGGTCTCCCTTGTACTGAGTTCACTCTTGTTTGGGCATCTTTGTCTTGGGGGCATATCTTCTTATTTCAATGCACTTTGAAATTATATTCACTAAAATCGTTGTCTATTACAAAATATTGCTTTTTCTTATACAGGATCTACATGGTTTCTTTCATATTAGCCAGCATAATCGAACAATTCAAATGGCTGAGTAGCCAATGGTTGGTGCATTTTCACACAGAAATCAGCTCAGAATTACAGTTGCGTATAATTCATTTATATTTTTATTATAAAACTTTGGAAACAGTAAGCCAAGTCTACTCTACCTTGAAGGAAACAGCGTGTACTATAAGATAATAAAGTTATTTATATGAAAATATATTACTATAGCAAAATGCTATACTGGTCTCTAACACCCAGATCGGGCAAATATTTGTGACATTCAATCTGATTCTTTTAAAGAATGACATTTCTCCTTAGTTCTCTTTTGAAATGATGGGCCAGTCAGGATGTTAATTAAACAAAGCACTTTGTGGGTTGGAGGGAGACACTGTCAAGGTGAAAAATCAGATTTCTTTAAAAATGTGTCTTAATCTATGGTTTCAGAGTAGCAGCCATGTTAGTCTGTACAGCTCACTTCATTGGATGCTCAAATAAATGCCCAAATAAATTGGTTAGTCTCTAAGGTGTCACTAATCCTCCTTTTCTTTTTGTCTTAATCTATGTTTCTAATAACACATAATTGTGATTTAATGCCTTGATCCTTTCATCTGATCTGTGCAGGCACTTCCTTATGGCCATCCAGACTCCCTTTGCAATCAGGGGTCTGCCCAAGAGAATTGCCTTGCAGGATCATGGTCTAAATCGTTTAAAAAACCATAATTTCTTTTTCACTATTTGTGGCAGTTGTTTTCTTTATTTATATCACTCACTGGGCTGTTCAAGTTCATTTTCTGCCTGTCGGCCCCAGTCCTTCGAACACTTAGTCACATGCTTGGCCCATTAATGTGAGGAGCCCATTAACTTTAGGGGGATAACTCATGTATTTATAGTTATTCACACCTAAGTGTTGCAGGACTGGGGCGATAGTCAGTTTCATTCTCTGTTGCTCATGCATTAGAACAGTTCTGATGTCTGTGGGTTTCCAAAACTGTGAGGGGATGATTTAAATTAGAGAAAAATATTTCCATTGAATCGAACCAAATCAGAAAATCTTCTATAAGAACATAATTGTTCACATTCAATTTTGTAAAACAAACAAACAAAAAAACCTTTTAGAAAATCCAAAGTTTCAGCTTAAGCCACTTGACAGTGCCTCAAAGTTTCAATCAACTTTTTAAAAATCCATTACCCATAGTACTATTTACATGCTTTTTGCAACCATTTTTAACTGCCTGGGTCTGATTATCCTCTCAGTGGAGATTCTCCTGATATACACCAGTGGAAATGAGATGAAAATCTGTTTCTTTGTATACATACTGGTCACCATCATTGTTACAGAAGCACAATAACAGAGAAAATTTCCACTGGAGATTATGTGCAGGTTAATATGCCACCGCCACTTTAAAACAAGTGACGCAAGAAAAATCACTTACGTACATAAATGCAATAGCACAAAGAAGAGTTGCATATGAAAGCCTACATTAAGTGGACTATAAATACAGACTCCTGGAAAATAAATATGGGTTTGTTTTGTGGATAACAAGGTGAGGACTACTAACAGCTAATCTGTGATTACGACCGGGCTGTGAAATGTATGATAAATATACACTGGAAAGAAATTGTATGCGTCTCATGTGAGGAAAGTCTTATTATTGCTCTAGGACTTCCTAGAACATGAACAGAATATATCTATTTGTCTCTATATAGATATCTCCAACAGAGTCTTTTTTTATATGCCATGTACTGTACGTTCCATTCCTTTCCCCTAAACTCATTTTACTATGATTTAGTGCACCCGGCATTAAGTATTGATGACTTGATTTTTACATATATTTCAATCAGGTGTAGAAATTTATTGGCATTGCATCATGATCAAAGAATAATGCCACAGCATCCCATGATAGAAACAAAGAGTTCTGTGGATTTCTATAACTGTCATAGAACTGCTTGAATTTTGCCTTCATGGATACACTTCACAGAAGTGCTAATATCAGGCTGCTGCAAATTACCTGTCCTGGGCAGGTGTGCTGTGATGACAGCGTCTTAGCTTAACAGTGGTACCTTCCTTGGGCCTAACCCACAGCGAGGGAACTAGGAGGAGAAAAGCAGGAGGCAAAAAGAGAAAAGACCATGTTTTTTTTAAAAAACTTTGGAAGCTGGGAGCCTGGCAATAGCCACGGTCTCATGGGGCATGTTCAGTGCTTCTTAATTGTTTTTGGATGCATTGATATCATGGTGATAGTTGCCTTCTAAGACAGGTATTAAGAGAGCCAGGTGATAGGGGGTTGGGAAGAATGTAGGAGGGGGCCATGGGAGGGTTCTTCTCTTACAAAAGGGTTTGCAGTAAGAAAAAGATGGAGAATCCTTGCAACTAACCTAAAGCACAGCCAGCTTTCCAGCTCTAATGTGCTTGTACAGAGACACGGTGGCAATGCTCAGACCATGATTCTGTTACATCATTTTGCCTCCTTCCATGCTTCTCTCTCTCCATCTCCCCCACACCCGCTTGTCTCAACTTGCCTCGGCTGTTTTCTCTTCCTCCCCTACACTGCACTCTTGTAGAGCCTATATTCTATTAATCTTGTCAGATAGCTTATTGTTGCATCTCCTTAATGTATCTCCTCTTAGAAGGAGGAATGCAATGGAGAGAACAGACGGGCTTCCTTGCCAGTCTAGCTGCATTATATATGTGGAGTGTGTGTATATATAAGGACCTTAAATTTGAACTCATCAACTAAACTTGGTCAGGGTCTCTAGCATTCTCTAATGTGTGGAATTCTCATTATTGGTTTATGAGAGGCATGCACTTGCATTGAAGGAAAATATATCTCAGCTACATGTAGCAATATGGAATCCAGCAAAGTACTATGAGTACATATATAAGGCAGTCTCACTTTCACTGATCACGTGGAAAGAGATGTTGAAAGTGGAGGAAGTTCCAGTGAGAGAGAGAGAGAGAGAGAGAGAGAGTGTCTAGCTGCAAAATTCATTATTTGGGTTCTTTACATGACTGAGTTTGAGACCTAGGGGCACTTAACAATATAAAGCTTGAGTCTATTAGAACATGATTTGAATAGTCATCAGTGAATTGTTTATCATGGGAGTGGAGGGAAAGCCAGGGAATTTCCCTGAGAGACAGTATGATCTAGAAGACTGAGCAAGAGACTAGAAGTGGAAAGTTCCTGAGTTCTGCTCCTGGCTACAGTTCCTACTCCCACTGTTGCCTTGACATTAACCCAGCTCTCTGTGTAGAGGAACCACGAGGTGTGAGCCGGCCTAGTGCCTAGAAAAAGTTACAGCAGCCTTTCATTTGAGAAATCACTGCAGGAGTGAGCATCTGGGTAGAGGGGAGTCATGGCCATCTTGGAAGTGGGGTTGGGGGGAAGATATTTTGTTTTCAATTTATGGAAATTTCTGAAATTTTGTGGTTTCTTTCCTCAAAAAGCTACAAAACCAAAGCAAAACATCAGTTTTGAGGAAACATAACACATTTTCAAAATGGTCCCAATTCTGAGTGACTACAGTTACCTGCTGTACAGCAGGTTGAAAGTATTCAAAATTTGAAATTTTTGCTCAAAATTTCAATAAAAATCTTATTTCCCTCCTCCCCTCCTGCCCCCCGATTTCTCCTCCTGATCCAGTTTTTCAACCTGTTCTAATATTAGGACTTTTTTCATAGTGAGATGAATTTTTACACTGAAACATTAACATTTTTTGTGTGTTCCAGTGTAAAAAGGTACAACCCATCAGCAATGCTATGAAAAGAGCCATTTCTGGGCAGCAAATGGATCCAGAACAACATAGGCCACCATTTCCTGCAAAATTTCTTGGGAGAAAAAATATCAGGAATGTTTTTGTCTATTGGCTTGTTTTGCAAACTGCAAGAAATCATTTTAATTTGCTTCCCAGGGCAGTTGCAAGGGATTAATTAAAGAGTTAATGATTTACATAGTGCCTTTGAAGATTTAATTTTCGATTTTAGTACAAAGTACTGAGCAAATCTATTTTTAAGGGCATGCCAAGAACGAATTGCCTGTTGAGAGGAGTGATCTGAAGAAAGATCAAACAAAATTACATTGGAAACTTGGGGACAGTTTAAAGTGGTTGTTTAAGGCAAAGGGGGTTGCTTATTGGAGGTGGAATGTAGGCTTAGTTGATTTGTTTGAGACTATTGTTCCCGGTCACCTATAAACTATCTGTGCAACACTTGTAGGCATGCAAGAGGTTCCTAGCTTTAGCATGGAAATGGATTTTTCTCTCCTCTGCCTCCCTCTGTGTTTCTGTGGTTTGATGTGGTGTGATCTATTTGGTATAATATTGGGATGGGCCATGTAATTGAATTTTCCTTCCTCCAAGGATAATGATGGGCACCGCAGCCACACAGGTGAAGGAGAATACAGGTCAGGAAACTGCTTTTGAGAGCACAGATGCTTGGAACTAGGACATCTTGATCCTGCACTCACTAAAATCATTAGCAAAACTCCTGTGTGACTTTAGTGATGCACTTGATTCAGAGCCCTAATTAGAAGCAGCCCTTATTCGTTGCTGTTAGAACCTACAGTAAAAAAGCACCAAAGAATGTTTTGTGTTCTTTAGTGTAATCCACCCATTGGATATCACTAACATTGACCATCAGCCTGTCCCCCTCCTCCATGAAAAGCACTGCCCCTAAGTAAATTGGCTGGAACCAGTTGTTTCCCATCTCACACAGAGTTTTGGTGGCAGTCAGTAGTTGGGTAGGCTCAGGGTAGCTGTCCGTGACTTTGGTGATGATCTGCGTTATGGAACCTGGTTTACTGTGATTTGGAGTGGACCCTCGGAAAGTGACCTGAGAGTAGATGTAGTAATCCCCGGCCTTTGGAATCACCAGTGACTTATTGGTATAGTTCATGTTGTTCTTGGTGAAGGCTAAGCCTCGCTCGTGTTCCCACTGGAGAACTGGAAACTGGTTTCCCATGGGGGGTGAAAGATCTTGTTTCTTAACTGAGGACATAAAGGAGAAAGGAAAGAAATCAGTTGGTTCCCCTGTTCAAGCAGGATGTGTGACAGTGAGCATAACTCAGATGATATATTCCTTCAAAAGAAAACAACCTTGCTAGCACATTCTCTTTAGTAAGGGCTCACTCTGCCATGTATTACGGTAGTGCCCAGAGGCCCCACATGAAATCAGAGCCCCACTGCGATAAACACTCTACATACACCTTGTAAGAGACAGTATCTGCCCCAAAGAGCTTCCGGCTAGCTAGACAAGGCAAACAAAGGGTCAGAGGAAAGGAATATTATTACTCCCATTTTACATATGGAAAACTGAGGCACAGGTCGATTATGCCCAGATTTTCAAACTCAACTAGCTAGTTTGGGTGCCCACCTTGAGATGCTGTAAAGGGACCTAATTTTCAGAGACTGGACACTGGGTCCCCTTTAAGGTGTCTCGGTTTGAGCACCCTGGAACTGAGCCACTTGGCCCGACGCTGCACAGCAAGTCTCTGGCAACCTGAGACTAAAGCTCAGATCTCCTGAATCCGAGGCCAGCACTTACAAGGCAATCCTTCCTCAGGGTGCAGCCCGGTCACATGAAAGGGGGAAATTCACCCCCACCCCCAAGGCCCAATGCACCAGTTCACAGCATCCTAAAATGCAGCCAGCTCTGGGGCAGCTGTGTGAATAATTACAGCAACTGTACATAATGGTGCAGGACAGTGATCAGTGAGACACCCCATATCCAAGAGACCCTTCAGTCTATCATTACCCTAACTTGCATTTAGCCAGGAGAGCCCTCGAGAAAAAGTGGCATGGAATCTTTTCTGACCACAAATGATCAGCACCTTGGTGTTAATCCAAGCCAAATAGGTGGCAGCTTCAACTGCAAACACTGTCCCAAAGACATGTGGAATCTGCATAGCTCATCCTCCTTGCGTGTCCCATACAAAACTATTTTCGTGGCTTAAACCTATCTCTAACTATGAAGGGTTAAGATGAGGTTTCCGCTGGGGGCAGATTATCCCACATCTGCCTACTGTGGGGTATCTTGTACCTTCCTCGGAAGCAGCTGGGGCCGGCTGCTGTCAGAGACAGCACACTGGAGCAGATGGACCCCAGGTCTGATTCAGCCTGGCAATTTCTGTCTTCTCATTTTTGCAGGGTTTGGAGGGTGGAGATGAGGCATAGTGGGACTTTTACCCTTCTTGCTTTGATCATCTCTCTTCCCCCGTTTGTAATTCAGCTCAGGCAGTAGCTAGGAAAACAAGAGCCCTATATTTTATGTGTAAGAGTGATTTCTGCTAGGGGACAGCAGTCAAGTTTCCTAGTAACTGCGTTTGTCACACAAAATTGTTGCGGTAAAGTTACAGCTGAGAAAAGTAAAACATCCGACTTCTCTGGGCAATAAAAAGAAACATACAACGCTACGGATAAACGAACAGGCAAGACAGAGGCAACTGATTTCCAGGAGATGAGACCTTTTCTTTTGTGTGAGTGTGGGTTAATATTGAATGTTTGCTCTCTTTCCATATCATTCCATTTCGGGGAAAGTGGATGAATTAAGTACAGAAAAGAAAAGCTTTGGAATTCTTCCAGACTTAATTGCGAAGCATGCCCTGTGTGGTATGAGATTCAGCAAGATCACACGTAATTACTACAAGGAACAGGATTAAGGGCGTGTGGCTGCGCGATGCCTCAGCTGCTGTTGGCGTCACTGGAAGTCCGGGGGGCTCAGAACAGGTCAGGATGGGTAGGTCTACACAGCCCGCAGAAGCAACCCTCCCAGCCCACATCGACAGATGGGCTAATGGGGCACGTGCTAGCACTCTAAAAATATATGTGTAGACAGCGCTTTGCAGTCGTGCCTGGGGCTCTGAAGCCTGGGCCGGGGGCTGGGCTTTGGAGCCCGAACTCCAGCCCAAGTCGCAAGTTCAAAGCACTGTCTACACAGTTCTGTTCGGAGCACTAGCGTGAGCCCTGCTAGTCCAGGTCTGTTGAGTGGAAGGAAGAGTGTTCTCAGAGCTTTGGCTCCATCTGAGCTCTGTTTGGTATAGAAACTGAGCTTAGGGAAAGCAAATGGCTGTCTGCTACCTCACACTTCCCCAGGGCTTCCAGGGGGTGTTCAAACCTTGGTATAAACTAGAGGAGCCTTAGGCCTGCTCTCATTTGCAGCAGCTTGTAATAGCCCCTCCCTCCCCACCCCACGCTCCCTGAGGGCAGCAGCTGGGGATGCTGGAGCGTAGGGGTCTCTATGTGTGCAGCTCCCTACCCACTCTAGCATGGCCCCCACACTGGAGTGCACCGCAGCAGCTGTGCCTGGTATGTAGGACAAATTTAAAGCTGCTCTGTGCTACAGTAGCAGCTCCAGGCTCCAGAAATTCAGTGGTCAACCTTAAAAGGCCAGCTGTTCCCAACGAGTAACAGACAGGACTGTTGTTTCCTGCATGGATTTAGGGAAATGCTCAGCTACCACCACACTGTGGTAGCTATTACTTAACGATTTGTAGTGACTAACATCCCCCTCCTCCCCCGCAGTGATCGGAATGAATGTCGTTTCAGTGACAAGGGTAGAGACAGGAAAAATAAGAACAGACCCTCTGCCTCATGGCCCAGAACTCAAATCAAACCTTTCTGGAGCTTCAAAACAGACAGGAGAACTTCTTGAAAATGTGTTTGTCATTTTCCTTTTCTTGCTCCTCTCCAGTTGGAGGTACAAGCTAGCGAATGTGCCCAAATGGCAGATCAAGGAGGACCGGAAATCTTGCTGATTTCCAGCTAGATTTTGCAAACTCAAGGGTTTGAAAGAAATTTGATTCAACTGTTGGGTGCTTCCCTGAAGCAAAGAGAACATCACACAAGCTTTTGAAGTTAATTCGTCAGGAGTACAGAGCTACAGTCTAATATTCTGAGCCAGCAGGAGGGCTTGTCTCTTGTCCAGCATCTCTTGCGACTATGTCTCGCTGGCTGTGCACAAATGACTCTTTTATCAATGAATGTGACCTTGTTCTCCTGCAAATCTGCACTGATGTGTTGAAAAATTATTAGTAAAAGGCATGGAAAAGGGTCAAAAGACACAATCTAGCTTTAGCTAGGAACTCGAGGACAAACGCAGAGAGGAAAACCCTGCTACGAGAGCTATAGGAACTTAGGCTCTGATTCAGTGGAGTGTTTAAGCACATGCACAACTGTACACATTGACTTCAGTGGGGCTACCCGCACGCTTAAAGTTACTCATGCGCTTTGAGTGCTTTTTGGAATCAGGGCCAGAGTCCACGCCGGGAGGTCTGACCATGGCAGAGGGATCTTGGAAGCCGTCCACAAGATTCTTGAACCATCACAGCCGTGCCAGCCACCTGGCAGCCATTCTGCCACTGACTTCCCCCAATATGTCCTTGCCCCCAGGTTCTCTCATCTGGGAGCTATAGAAATAGGTTAGGGCTCAGTTATTGGGGGGAGGGATAGCTCAGTGGTTTGAGCATTGGCCTACTAAACCCAGGGTTGTGAGTTCAATCCTTGAGGGGGCCATTTAGGGATTTGGGGCAAAAACTGGGGATTGGTCCTGCTTTGAGCCCGGGGTTGGACTAGATGACCTCCTGAGGTCCCTTCCAACCCTGATATTCTATGATTCTATGATTATGCCCCTCCCTCAAAAAGGGGACTAAGAAGGGGTTTAGAGCATATTGAGAGTTCCTTGCCCCTCAGCCCATCTACAGAGGAATCAAGCATCATCCCCTGGTCTGGTACCTTTACACTGCAATAAAAGACCCTCCGCATGGCCATGGCTGGCCTGTGTCAGCTGCCTTGAGCTTGGAGGGCTCAGGCTGCAGGGTTGACATGCAGGTGTGGGCTGCAGGCTGGGATCTGAAACGCCACAAGGGGTGGAGGTTGGTTCTCAGAGCCTGAGCCCACTGCAGTTTTTAGCCCCATAGCCCAAGCCATGTGTGCCCGAGTCCATTGACCCAGGCTCTGAGAGTCTGTGCCACAGGTTTTTTATTGCAGAGCAGATGTACCTGACAAGCTCCATGAGTGCATGGCTGGGGGTAATGCTGGCCACACCTGTTAAGCAGGGTGTAGCAAAGAGCACCCTTCAGGCTGCTCCCTCAGCCTTTCTTATTCTTTTGACACCCCCACTCCTGTCCTTGAGAAAGGCATAATACCTTCTGACACTTCCCCCTCCTCACCACTGCTCAGACTCGTGAGAGTCACAACTGAGCCTAATTCTTCTCTTGCGCACGCTGGTGTAAATCAGGGGTGATTCCACTGAAGTCAATGGAGTTCTACTGGCGTGGAAAAGGTGTAAGTGAAGAGAATCAAGACTGTGATGCTTATGGAATATTAAAGGTCTGGTTCTCCTGTCCCTTAAACTGCTCTAGCTCCATTGACTGACAGCTGTGGAGTTACTCCTGAGTCACATCACGATGAGACTACAACTAGGCCCTTTCTGTTTAAATAGTCCCATTAAGTATAGCAGAAGAGTAAAATACCAGCCATTCTAGCAGTTGCTAACAGCCGCCAGCCCGAGTGTTCATTTTGTAAGCAGCCTTTTAAAACCATAAAGAGAATCTTTCATAAAGTGCCTGGCTTTGCAGACACTCTGTATGAACACAGGGCTAGATCCTCGACTGGTATAAATCAGCATAGCTCAGTAAAGCTAAGTCAAGAGACACCAGCTTGAGATCTGGCCCAGAGAGTGTAAACAGGAGATGACTTTCTTTCCCCTACTTTTCCTGACTGGCAACTTCTGACTGTCAGTTTCCATCAGGCATGTGTGTTTTGGAGATGAGCTTTTGTGCAGTGCAATGTGAGTGACAACTACCCAGGGAGGCATATCATTTTTGAACAGTTAAATTACCTGTTAGGTGTGCTCTTGGCTTTTCTGCACTGGATACTAAAGCTGTAATTAAGAAAAAAAAAACATTTGCAAACATCCGAGTCCGAATGATTCTTCACAGAGAGACTCTGTGCAGTCCCTCTTCATTTCCGCCTTGGTCTGTTTTATGAGTTATTTGTCTAGGCTGGTTTTCTGTGTTTGTTTTTTGTGGCAGGCAGGAATGGAGTTTTGGACAGAGCTGATAGGATCACTAAGCAAGCACCAGGACTTGTCAATTTCACTGCAAGGCTTGTGAGAACTTGGCAAATCCTTTTAAAACAAACACCGCCACCCCCTCCCCGTCGAAAAGCAAAGCAAAAGCCTCTTCTTTGAATTAGATTTCAGCATGCATGAGGGCATCCTTTATCATTCTGTCATTTCAATACTAATATAGTCAGACTGTGCTCAAAAAGCCACAAGGCAGGTTTATCCCTACACCAATGCAAAGAGGAGGCAGTCTGCACATCCCTTATTCAGGGCCTGCAGCACCAACCCAGCCACTCCCCCTCTTATGCCATCTTTCTGTTCCCCAAGCTCCGTACTGCGTCCTCAAGCCTGCCTGAGCTCTGCGACAGCCACAGCCTCTGCTCCTCCCTTCCTTCCCCACCTTCCCTCCCATCCATACCTCTCTCCTCCAGCCCAGAGCTTACCCATGATCCTTCCTGCACTGGGTGACCATTGCTGAGGAGGCATCCACCTCCTGTGTTGAAAGGGGTGGGTGGGGGAATGGTGGACTTTGCCTTCTTTGCACCAGCTGCACTGCCACGAAAGAGCCCATAGGGCACCTGTGAGTCTGGCCCACAGAACAAGAGTGAGCTGGGGTTTGCTTTCACGTCCAGCTACATTTTCCCTGCAGCATTAATATCATAGAATCGTAGGACTGGAAGGGACCTCGAGAGGTCATCTAGTCCAGTCCCCTGCACTCAAGGCAGGACTAAATATTATCTAGAGACCTTCCCTGACAGGTGTTTGTCCAACTGGCTCTTAAAAATCTCCAATGATGGAGATTCCACAAACGCCCTAGCCAATTTATTCCAGTGTTTAACCAGCCTGACAGTTAGGAAGTTTTTCCTAAGGTCCAGCCTAATCCGCCCTTGCTGCAATTTAAGCCCATTGCCTCTTGTCCTATCCTCAGAGGTTAAGAAGAAAAATTTTTCTCCCTCCTCCTTGTAACAACCTTTTATGTACTTGAAAACTGTTATCATGTCCCCTCTCCGTCTTCTCTTCTCCAGACTAAACCCAATTTTTTAAATCTTCCCTCATAGGTCACGTTTTCTAGACCTTTAATCATTTTTGTTGCTTTTTTCTGGACTTTCTCCAATTTGTCCACATCCTTCCTGAAATGTGGTGCCCAGAACTGGACACAATACTCCAGTTGAAGCCTGATCAGCGCAGAACAGAGCAGAAGAATTACTTGTCCTGTCTTGCTTACAACTCTCCTGCTAATACACATACACAGACAACACCGTACAGGGAAGTGGTTTCCGATGTAGATTCTTATCTACTCCTAGCCTTTCCCTTCATTTATGTTTTCTATTGACTCAAACCTTCACTCTCAGCCCAACCCTTCAGCTCTAACCCTGCCCAAACTTCCAGGGACTTTGATGGGGTTGCAGGAGCATGCACCACAAGAGGATTTAGCCCATAGTATTGCAGATGAAAAAGATGGAAAAGACATCCCAGAACCTGGGATGCATCTGAGCTGTGCTCAGGAGGAGGTTTGCAAAGGTGGCTTTAAACCACATGTATACCCTGCGGCCCCCAATTCTGGTTCCTTGTGGATGCTGGACTCTTCCCTGCTGTAGACTAGACTAGCCACAGGACTGTCTGTACCTGGTTGCCTATTGCCCATCCCAGCATCTGGGCATCACCAGGGGAGAGTTGTCCCTAAGATATGTCCCCTATACTGGGAACTGGGATGGAGCTGGCATAGAAGCTACTAGACGATTCCCTTGTGCCATTCTCCACTTGCCAGATGTGATGGTTTTAAGACTGGGTTGCACTGTAGAGCAGTATGAAGGCCCTTTAGCAGGACAAAGAGCTGCCCCATCCTTGCGAGGTCACCTAGCCCATCCTCCTTTAGAGGGTTCCTTTGGGAAATCTAATTTTAAGATAATACAAGTGATAGGGCTTCCACCCCTTTGCGGGTGAGACTGATCTATAGCGTAACAGATCTCACTGGCAGGAAGCTTTTCCTGACATTCAGCCTGAATTTACTTTCTCGGACTTTAATCTCCTTTGGCTTCTAGTTACACCCCTTTGCACCACACTAAGCAATTCCTTTTCCTCTAAAGGAAGCTGATCTGGCCCCCAGTCTGGCTCCTATACGCTATTTCGGCAGTGTACAGGGCCCATGAAGGAGCTGCTGAGGAAAAAGTCCCTCTGGGCAGAAGTAGCATAGGGCTTGATATTAGTGACCTGGCATAATGTCCACCTCAAAGCTCAACTCTAGGGGACATGCTGGGAGAGTAGCTGGGTCAGGAAGGGGCAGGTTATGATGCTTCTCAAGGGGTACCCAGCAGTGTGAGGTGCCTCTCTACCGCTGGAGGAAAGCTTGTCTGTGACTGCAGTGAGTCAGTTCCCCTACCACTCCAGTCTCTGGGAACTAGTGCCTTCCAGGCCTCTGTAGGCCCCGATCTCTCTTTACAGGTGAACGATAGTCAACCTGCAATCTCCAAACACCTCAGTGGAGTGCCCAGCCCCTGATCCACTGGGTTTCCCAGACCCTCTGTTCCCAAAGGAACAGTTCCCTGGCCCCCCTCCAGCGAGTCAAATGATAGCAAGCAGAAATAGTGGAAACAAAGGATTACCATATAGCTCTTCCTACTATAAGAGATTCTGGGCTGCAGCGCGGCTCCTAGGCAGCCAATCAGGTCTGCAGAAAGGTGGCAGAAAGTCTCCTTTGCCCAGTCCCTCCTGAGCTCTTTGTGCCAGGTTTCTCAGAATCTGTCCCCAGGAGCCTTTGTCCTTGGATGTTTGTGTTTATGGGACATATCTCTCTACACACCCTCCCACGCCCCTCTCTATTGCACTTGTATTGTTCCCAGTTTCAGGGGCAGGGAGGAGAGAAGTCTCAAGGCCATGTAACCCACACACCTTCTGGGTGTGGTTTCCTGTCCCATCAAGCGAGAGCGAAAGAGAGTAAGCGAGAGAGAAAAAATATATATGAGTCTGCTGTACAGCCTTAGCTAAGCGCTAGTTGGCTTTTAGCTCATGCACTAAGCTCCAGCGGTCCCAGGTTCGATCCCGCTCACCGATGACTGGGTTTTCTCAATGTTACAATTACACATGGGCATTTGAATCCCTTGGAACCCTTAGTTGTTAGTAGAGAAGGCAGGTATCTCTGCTTGATAGCCCTGGGAAAGTGCATTTCCATATAGTGGAAAGAGAAGGAGGGTGAGGTAATATCTTTCATTGGACCAACTTCCTTGGTGAGAGAGAAACTCTTTTGAGATATTACCTCACCCACCCTGTGTCTAATATCCTGAGGCTGACCCGGTTACAAAAAACACTGCCTATCAGCCTTGCTCCTACATTTAGCTGCCGTGAGGAATTTCTACAGGTACCACCCCCAGTAGACACGTGAATGAACAGAAGGTTTTATAGAAGAAGGAAAGGACTGGCAAACTTACAAATTGGTGATGTCTGTTGCTTTAGGAATCTAGACACGCTTTCATCTGCAACCTGCGAATAGATTCACAAGCAGTTAGTGTTCAGGTGATTGAGACAAGACAAACCCTGGAGAGCAGAGGCCTGTATGTGTATGTAATATTTTCATCAAAAGAGTCTATCTAGCCTTTGGCAATTGCCTCAGGAGACAGAAGAGACAACAATATTTGTTTACATCTGAACTGAGCCTGAAGTACAAACCCCCAAGTAGTTTCAGTTGTTGGTGCAAGAGCCTTCTCTTCCACAGCCTTCCAATATCCCTCTGTCTCACACACACAGGACAGGTTCCCAGGTCTGGCTGATCTGTGCTAAGCATGGGACCTGGGGTGGGAGAACGGTGGCTCCAAAGCATCTTCCTGCTTCCTGGCTCAGCCAGAGCCTGAAGTTGCCCATGGAATAATTCAGAAAGGCCTAAGGGCTACTCTAAGTTATGCCACCCAGAGCAGTCACCCAGGGACAGTTCTGCCAACCAGGGAGTGTGGAGCACAACTCCATCCAGCCCCACTCCCTCCCATCCCCAGCCTACCACTGAACATCTCCTACACCTCAGGGAGGGGAGCAAGTCATGCAGAGGTGAGACAATGCACAGAGCTTAAAGCTGGAAGCCAGGATCTGACCCTGATTCTTTCTTATCATAGTGGGCCTGATCCGCAGCTGGTGTCAGACCTCCTCTGGATGGGGGTACATTGATGTACAGCAGCTGAGGATCTGTCCCATAATTTCTCCCTTACTTCTGTAGCTTGCGATTCCTCTCTCCCTCTGCTCTTTATTATGTGAATCTGTAACTCTATCATGTCGTTCTCTAAAGGCATTGGGGAAAGAGTTTGTGTGAAAGACAGATCAGTAACGAAAAGGAGCCAAGAACTCTCAGTGGCAGAGAACTAACCTTGCAAGTAAACAAGCACTTGACAGAGGAAGGGTCAGTTTTGTTTGTCTAATAACTTGCTAAATCACTCTCCCTATCTGAGATCCAGAGTCCCTGTGAAGCCCATTCAGACTCACACTGTAAATATTGCAGCATAATATTGACTTGGTCTGTGCCAAAGACAAAAGGCATTTATGCAAAGCAACAGGAAGGCCGGTTACCACTTGCCAGTCAGATGCCTGCCATTGGTGCTGGCTTTTCCCATTCAAACCCCCATAGGTGGAGTGCCTGCATTCTTGCAAGACTTTGGTTCTGTTCAGCCAGATTCTCAGGTGATATAAATCAGCAAAATTTTGAAGCCAATGGAGCTAGGCTGATTGAGGATCTGGTCTGGGGTGGCCAACCTGGGGCTCCGGAGCCACATGTGGCTCTTCAGAAGTTAATATGCAGCTCCTTGTCTAGGCACTGACTCCGGGGCTGGAGCTACAGGTGCCAACTTTCCAATGTGCTGGGGGTGCTCACTGCTCAACCCCTGGCTCTGCCACAGGCCCTGCCCCCACTGCACCGCTTCCCACCCCCTCCCCTGAGCCTGCAGTGCTCTCACTCCTCCCCCCTCGAGCCTCCCGCATGCCACGAAACAGCTGATCGGGAGGTGCGGGAGGAGAGGGGGAGGCGCTGATCAGCGGGGCTGCTGGTGGGTGGGAGGCGCTGGGACGGGGGCGAGGGGAGCTGATGGGGGGCTGCTGACATATTACTGTGGCTCTTTGGCAATGTACATTGGTAAATTCTGGCTCCTTCTCGGGCTCAGGTTGGCCAGCCCTGATCTGGTCTGTAGTTTGTGCATGTGCAATCCCCGCCCCCACTCCAAATCTTAATAGCAATGCCTAGAGGCATACAATACTTACAGTGGTTCTCAAACTGTGGAGCATTTGCTGATGGTCTATGGAGAACCTGCTCACATGATGCTGACTCTTCTCCTCTCCAGCTGCTAAACTGTAGCAACCCATTGCCTCTCCCTGCACTCTCCATTAAAGACTCTTCTAATATTATTTCTCCCGGCACCCAATTCCAGTAGCTGCTACAGAAATGGCACAAAAGGCGGCCTATACAATAATGAAAGCGAGAGCAGGTGTCCATGAGACAACAGTCGGCTAGATCACCAGCTGGTGTGAATCAGTGTCATACACCGATTTACAGCAGCTGAGGAGCTGACCCCAACTCTCTCTGTTAAAACCAGGACTAGGCAAAAGTGTGAGAACCCCTGCAGGACAGGGTCTGCTAGGAGTGTGCTTATGTTGTATGCGTATGCACTTTGTGGACCAGACTCTCAATCAGTGTCAATCAGAATAGATTTCATTGTAAGTTGGTTTCAATGGAGCTCTGCTGATTGGCCAGATCTTCAACTGGAGTTAATGACAATTACTACTAGAAAACAGTGATAATATTTAGTGTTTATATACATATATTATCCAGCTTGGATTATTTCACACACACACACACACACACACACACACAATATCAGCCGCTTCTGGGGGAAGAGGACACATGCTGCATGCCAACATGGTCTAGATAATACTTGGTCATGCTATGAGTGCAGGGGACTGAATTAGACGACCTCTCGAGGTCCCTTCCAGTCCTATGCTTCTATGACTCTATGGGCAAAAGGAGAATGAATGGCTGAGTTCGCTTCATGGCAGATGGACAATATCCTGAATTAACTTTACTGAATTAAGTTAAACCTTGCTGAATTAGTTTTAACAGCTTTGGAGTCCATTGTTTTGAAAATGCAATTGTGTCTGTGTTATTGTGGAATTGTATGTTTGTACCTTCTCTCGGAGATTGACTCACTAATGCAATGTCTGGAAGGTATTAGGAACTTCAAAGGGCTTTTTGAAACAACACCTGTGAAATGGATTTCCTAGGAAGTACCTGTGGGAATGCAAATGACCCACTTCCAATCCACCCTTTTGAAGCTATACCTTCGTGAGGAGAAGCTGCTGTATATTTATTACATGCTCCAGGAAACTCCAGATCAAAGACTCCTAAACAGTGTACAGAGTAGAATAAACATGTTATGAATGTGCTAGTTCTGAGCCGAGGCTGTGATGAATTTGAGACCACAAAGGAAATCTCTTGGGTGGGGTGCTGAAGGACTGCTCCAGCCAGAGATCATGTTCGAGTTGGGGTGATGGCTGCTAAGCTTATTAGCATTGGGGTAGGGGCTTTATTATTATATATATATTTTTGGTAACGGTTTTCTCTGTAGTGCTTTTACCTTAAGAATAAAATAGGCTTGTATTAGAAAGAACTGCACGGCAACTTATAACTGCGGACAATCGTTCTGTCATCAGTCCCTGAATAGAAAGTCAGCACATGCTGGGGCAGCCTGTGGCTGCTGAGAATAACAAAGTGAAGGCAGGCAACCGTGCAGTCTGGAAATACCCTGCTCAGAAGGGAGTGAGATATGGGTCTTCCCCCCCCCCCCCCAAAAAAAAAAGGCAACAGATGGGGAGTTGGAAGCCTGAGAGCACCACTGTGGGGAAATACAGGTACAAGTTGCCCTGAACTGTGACAACCCTCACCAGGAGTTGAGCCTGGCGCGTGGTGCATTGAGGCTTGAGATTTTAAAATGGATGCCCAATGCTGAGGTGCATGTATGGTCTAGGAGACAGCTAAGCCACTTATAAAATGGTAATTTCCCAATAGCTAAATTATGTAAAAAAAAAAATCTGGAGAAAAGAAAAAAATTGCAACAGAAAATTCCGTCCCTTCCCCAGCTACACCGCCTCTGCCCCTGCCTTCCAGCCGTACCCCTCCCCCCCAGCAGAAAAAGCATGATCTAAAAGACCCGAGTGAAAACTGCAGGGGCACAGTCTGCAAGATAGGAAGGAATCAGGAAGAACACCCTTTGTCATGTTGACCTTGAACTGTTTGAGATGAGGCAGCTGCTTGGTACTGAATATTACATTGTCTTCTGCAAGAGCTCACAAGATCGCTGGGATGTTTGAATACAATTGTAATTTATGATGAAATGTGTAGCATCATGGTCAGCTGAATGTGTAATTTCCCTGGATGGACTTTATAAGGCCATAGTGCGGGAATTCCCTTGGGAACACTCCTCCCCCAAGCGACTTTAATGACAGCTGTAATCACTGAAATGTCAAGGTAGTTACATATGACATAACAAAGCTGTGTTTGGCCCTGATTCAGCAAGATACTTCAGCACACACCTAACTTTAAGCATGTGAACAGCTCTATTTATTTACTTCAGTGGTACTCCATCCTCAAAGTTAGATCCCTGCTTATGTAGTTTGCTCAAGAACCTTACATAATCAGAACCCTTGAGATTTAAGTAGAGCTGATTGTTTCCATGAAAAGTTTTGACTTTTTGCCAAAAACGTAGAGTGTTTTGGGGACAAAAATTGGGGGTGGCGGGGGGGTGGGGGTGGAATGGCTAACAACTGAAATATGTTTGGCTGAAAATCAAAACAATTTATATTTTAGGCCAAAAGTTTTAGTTTTCTACCTAGGAGGTGGTAGAATCTCCTTCTTGGGAGGTTTTTTGATTCCCTGGTTCAAAAGCTGGTTTGGGATGGTTTACTTTGAATGGTTTTCTTTGTGGAGAGGGTGGAATTGGGGCCTTTGGGGTCCCTTCCCCCTTTTTTATGTTCTTATTCTCTAATATTTTTGGCCTTAAGCTGGACTCTTTCATTTCCTCCTCCTTCTTGTGGGGGGGCAATGGACGTCCCAATGAGGCCTCTAAGGGAGGTGGGCCCTCCTCTTTTCCCAATCCCTGCTTAACACTCCTCTCTTCCCCTCCCCCCCTCCCCCCCGGGGCCCCCCTTCTGACTGCTGCCTGCCTTCGGTCCCTGTCTTGGCTGTGCTTGGGTCCTTCCCCCCTGTGGGGGCCTCTTCTTTTGGTTTGGTTTTCCCCTCCTCGGCCTGGGCCTTCCCCCCCCTGCCCTCCTCCCTCTCCCTCTCCCTTTGGGGGGCCCCCTTAGAAGTGGGTGGGGAGTGTAAAGAGAAGAAATGAAGGGGGGGGGAGGGGAGGGAGGATGGGAAAGTGTTGGAGGAGGGGGGGGGGGATGGAAAGGGGGGGGGGGGGGGGGGGGGGGGTGGGGGGGGGGGGGTTGGGGGGGCGGGGGAAGGG